GAGAATTAAAAGATATAGGACTTAACCTGCAAATTTTTTCATTAAGGGCAATATAGACATTCTAACGGAAGAATAGTTGCTGCCAATTCAATCTGGTCTGGCTAAAATTCTCAGTAAGCCTGGCACTACCCTTTCCGCTTATTCCTCGGGCTAAAAAAGAAAGGTTTTTGGCTCGTCCCAGCTCAACTTGAAATTTCACGCAGTAAAGCAATAATCAAAAATCAACGCAGAAACACGTACAAATTCCACGAAAATGGAGTTTTATGTTGAAGAAGGAAAAGAAGTAGACCAAAATTGCTCCACTTTAATTCTGGTTTGTTTCTAGGGCTTCATTATCTCTTCATTTCCACATTTGTGTTTTTACGTTCATTAATTTTGACGTTTCTCTATTTTTAGCCGGCGTTATCGATTGGTAACGTTGGGCAACTNTTTTTTTTTTTTTGAATTTTTATTATGTATTGATTTTATTGATTTTGCAAGTGACTGTAATTATTTTGGTTAAAACTGGCAGCTTACGAGTCTTCATCCAGTGCATTGTCACTTGTACAGCAGCGGTCTCCGGTTGTTAAGGTAATGATTCTCTATTGTCATTTAAGTTTTATTTTGTTATTTTATGGTTTGGTTAGAAAGTTTATGGCCTGTTTGAGCCAAATTATTGTAGAATGAGAATGAAAAATATAGTCGTTATTGGAGCCCACGAGAGAGAAAATTTGAATTTAAATATTGATGTGATGGATAAAGGTCATATTTTTCATTTCAATGAGATAAAAAATATTGAAATAAAAATGTAGATCAAATGGGGAAGTAAATAAAAAGTAACTTATTTTGATAGGAAGGTAGAGTTAGTTCCAGAATAAGCAACTTTTGTCCCTTAAAAGTAAGAAACAAGTAAAATATCAGAATATGTTTGAAGATAAAAGTAATTTATACTTTCTTAAGCTTAGGGCTGTTGTGTCAATTCGTGAATAACATATAGAAACATGTTAATTAATGAGAAGCACACTTGTTATAAAGAGTTGAAGTTGAACAATTATGGAAATGGGATGTGTAAAGGTGACGAAAAGTGATGATGCAAGCCTATGCCAATTGGTTATTCCATCAAGATAAGTTGTAAGCACATGTAGTTGGTTACATAACTAGCTCACATATAAATATGACTTTGGATTTTTAGGATTTTATGATGTACTCGTGCCTTTTAGCTACCTTTCTTATGTGCTTGGAGTAAGATATAGGGTTATGAGTCAATTTTTCTTGTTATGTCTGAACCATATTCATGGAGAAGTAGGTGGCACTTACGTGTGAAATGGCTTCTCAAACAGGGTATGATGGTAGAATACGCTAAGAATTTAGCAAATTTCGCAGCTGCTAATGGGAAGAAGCACGTCATCATCCTTTCCAGCTTGGATTTTGGGCGTTGGCACACCATTGACCTGTCAAGGTACTGATAGTTGAGTTTTGTATATTGTATTAAAAAAAAAAAAAGAAATGTAGAATTTAATATTTCGTAAATTCTCCCTAAAAGTGTTATTTGAATGATCATGGTGACTTGAGATTTATGGGTGATGGAAATATCTCTCTCACACGTGACTACAGGCACACACACAGATAGGCGAACCGACTTGCATACTTGCTGCCAGCTAAGCACATAGGCACTTATTCTTTCATTGAAAACTTTTCTGGAAATTTGTTCCAGAAGTTTTTGGTTTGACATAATGGGCGTTTTCAATGTAATTACTCATTACCTTATCCAATTTGATTGTTTGCTGATGATAAATGTCTAAAGCATTCTTATAGAGTAGGACGTGGCTAGGTTCGGTTCGGCACAGCATGGCATGGTTCTAAAGGGAATCGAACCAAGCCCCATTTTTGGGTATTTAATAAGTGGAACCGTCATGTCCAAATTTAATTATGAAACCGTTCGAGTTTGGTTCCATTCGATTCCGATTTCTGTACAATAATTAATTTTTTTAATATTTATAATAACACTACATTAATTTAACTAATGACATGTTCAATCTTAACTCTTACAAAATAATGTAATCAAATCCCGTGATATCTTTTGTATCTCTCTTTGTTGAGTTATTCATAGATTTGGCCGTTAAAATCACAGGAAGAAGAAGATAGCGAGCTCACAATAATGAAGAAAGGCTCAGCTAAGCTTCAAATTTGATTTCTCTGTAATGGCACTACGGTAGAATAAAAGATTTGGGTAAAATTTAGATCAATGTAATTATGTTGGACTTGGACTTCAAATTAAAAATAGGAAAAATCATATTTTGAGTTTGGGCTAAATTACTTAGTTCGCAAATTTATTTAGAAAAAATAAAATAATTTGACTATTTAAGATTAAAAAAATTAGGGAGATTTGGTTCTTATTCAGTTATTCGGTTCTTGGTCTAGAATTAAAAACCAAACCAAACCGGTCGGTTTTTTATTCAGATACCCGTTCGGGTATTTAACTTAAGAAGAACCACTCGGTTCGGTTTTGGAGTTTTGTCGAGCCCTACATTTTTATATTAGCAGATTTTTAAAAATGATTTGATTTATAGAATTTAGTTTTTGTTATCTGATCTTTGACTGGTTACCGCTGTATGCAGCCAATTTAGTGTCTATGCATTTTGATAACGTTTATTGACTCCATGGTGATTTATACCAGTGGTTTGCAGATATTTTACCTCTCTACTTCAGGTATGGATGGAACAGATGAAGACTGTGAGAGGCTTGGATGGAACAGGTTGCAGGAGTATAATCCTTCTCAGAGGATGTGGAAGTATCTTAACTCCTTAGCTGAAGGGGGTTCCATGTTGGAAGAAGACTTGCCTTTCGAAGAGCTAGGAGATGAAGATTACTACCCAAGTTTGCCTTTTGCCGCACTCTTTTCTTGCCTTAAGGTGATTCAAAATTTATGTTTTGTGGACAATGAATAATCTTCTACTTGGCAAGATTTAATTCATAGGCATGCCCTGCTCGTCTCCACCTTATTTTCACACAATCTGTTCTATTTTCTGTAAATTAGTGTATTTGACTTCAGAGAGGGCAAAGACAAATGTTGAGTTTCAGAAAAATGATTATATCAGCCTCCTTAGAGGCGCTGTTCAATCTGATGGTTATGGAGGGGAGGGGAAGGAAATGGAGAATTTAAATCTTCTTTGTTCCAATAAATAAGGGGAAGGGAAGGGAAGGGAATTCTCTAAAGCTGTATGACGTGTTTTTTGTATCATATATTGGTCGCCCTTCATTCTCTCCATTACCCTCATAAATGCTCACTTCCCTTGGCTTTCTTACACTCAAATGAACGAAGCCTCCAAGAATTTATTGATTTCCTTGTTTCATTTTGGTTATTCATGTACCATGTCTTGTAATTTGCATATTTATAACTGCTTTAGGATTTGAGATGTTTGTGTTATCTATCTAGTTGTACAAGGTGTCACCTGTACGCATTGTGTCTCATAGTTGAAGTTTTTAATGGGCAACCAATTCTCTTCCTCATCACTTTAGCTGCTCGATCTAGAAATCTCTATAAACAATGTAATGGCATAGGGATTCTCAGTCTAGAGGAATTCGTTTCCCTCGGAAGATTTTCATCCTCTTCCACATCAACATTTATTGGTAAAGCAATTTATATAACCATATCGGTTTATTTCTGTACCCATGCAAGTGGGCATTGACAAATAGTAATTTCATAGGATTTAAATCACTTGATGGACGTAAAATTCGTGTCTTTCAGTTAATTAAATCTGAAACATATTGCATCGCTGATTTTATAATCGCTATATTTTTTGGATAGGCGAAAGGTTTAAAGGTTACTTGCTTACTATGTTATTGCTCGGAGGGAGACAATATACCTGAAGCTTTCCATTTGGCTGAAGCAGCAAGCAAACTTACGGGGCTGAGCCAGAATGAATTCCATGGTGAGTTAGGTGATCTTAAGTTTCAATTCCTTGTTTTCCTACCTCTTCTGACTCCCATCTACATTTTCCACAATCTTTGTTTTCATTTGTTTGTTATGGCTGCGTGATGTGCTATTTAACTATTTCAATTATGCCTTTGCAAGTTACGCTAAAAAATCACCTATGGATTAGGATGTAAAGTTTAAACCAAAGAGGAAAGAGCCTCCTGCAATTTCGGTACTTCACATATTCTCCAGTTACCTTTTATATGATTTGTGACTATGAATTGGTTACTTGTTTTATAAAACTGGGAGGAACCTTATAGTTCGACTGAAAAACTCGTATCTTGGGCCCTTGACATGTTCTCTTTGTTAGTTTTCTGACTGCCAAAAATGCAACGCAACTATGTGAGCCTCCTAAAGGATAGTTTGTAGTCTTGACTCATGGCCCGTCTGGTTTTCTGCAAATCAATTTTTGTTTTCATGTCTCGTTGAAAGTGAAAGTTGAAAGTCCTTGTACCATTGGGATGAGATTCTAGGAACTTCACTTATTAAGAAGTTGCAGTTAGTATTTGACCAAATTCATGCGCTTTCCACGTATTTATATTATACTCGCTCTAATGTTGCCATATTAACTTGCATTGTTTGATTTGTTCAGGCAATGAAGCTGGAAAATGGATTATACCTTTTTCATGGAAGAGCGTCTATGGACCTCCCGCAGATGTTTCTCTCTTTTAAGTTGCCACTGCGGATTTGAGAGAGCCGCAGACTGGACTGATTGCTCTGCTCTTCTGCCTGTTACTCGGGGTCACACAACTGTAAAATTTCGTTATCAGAGAGGAGAATATTGTATTGAAGTTGATAAGCAAGTAACCAATTTTGGGTACTTGAGAGTTGAGAATGAAAACTAATTATGCATCACGTTGGAACTTCATTAAATCTTCTATGTTTGAGGGCCTAAACAAAGGGGAAGGAGAAGAGTATTGTGTAGTTATACAATGAAAAATGAATCATTTGGACCTTTAACCTTTCATGCATTGTTCGTTGCTTGGATTTGATATAAAATTTTGTCGTGGTATTAATTTTTAACTTCGATTACCAAAATACAGGGTGGTGATTGATTCTATTTCCCAAAAGACCAGCAGAGAAATGGGAAAAGATCGTGATGCCCATGTAAGATCTCAAAGAGAAAATTAGAATGATGTTATTTAGAGTATTGCCAATCCGTGGCAAGTGATGCTGTAAA